CTATTGGGAATGTGGGCCTTTTCTGGTCCATACAAGGTGACAGATTTGGAAGGAGGGTGCTTTATTGTGACCTTCTCTAATAAAGATGACTATCGCACAGTCCTCACGGATGGACCTTGGGCCATTGCTGGTCACTACCTCACTGTACATCCATGGATACCGGATTTTTCACCGACCAACCACTCGGTCTCTCAGGTAGTAGTGTGGATACATATCCTAGGCTTGCCAACAAAGTAGTACAAGAAGAAGATAATCAGAGTCATCAGGAAGATTCTGGGCAGAGTCATTCACATCGACTATAACACTGAATCAGGCAAGAGAGGTAAGTTTGCTAGAATGGCAGTCATCATCGACCTATCCAGCTCCCTTACCTCTAAAATCATTGTTGATGGTAAAGCCCTCCTGGTAGAGTATAAAGGACTCCCTATCATTTGCTACTATTGCGGGAGATATGGACATATTACTGATTCATGTCCACTGAAGCAGACACAAATAAACGAAACTCCGGTAGGTGCCCACCGAAAAACACCGAGAAGGTGATGAGAATCCCAACTGCAGATGAGGTGTAGGACATGAATCCCTATAGAGCTTGGATATCGGCACCCTCTTCAAGAAGGTGTTTCTTCAGGGAAAACAAAAGGGTGTCAGAGCCAACCTATCCTAAACACGCTACTAGTGGGTCTCAATTTGACCTTTTGAGACACCAAGAGACCTTACTAGACAACCAAACAGACTCCCCCTCACCAAGCTCAGAGACTATCACTCATTAGACCATACCTGCCACACACTCACCCAAGTCCCAGTCTATGCCACCCAAAACCACAAAACCCACCAGAGATCTTATGAGAAAAGCCCCACCACCGTCGAAAAGCCCAAAAAGCCTCCCTCTGTCCCACCCTCAGAATCCCTCTTTGCCTCTAGTGCCTACAAAACTTCCTCCTCAAACACCTCACTAGACACTGCCAAATACTCAGCTGTTAACATCCCTAATCCTAAAACCCCCTTGAAATTGAATGATAACACAAAACCCACAAACCCAACCAGGCCCAATCTAAAGCCCACCCAAACACCAGAAAACAACAAAGAAAATATCATGCCCAAGCCCCCAGATAAGCCAACGTCCAATCCTGGTATCAAACTTAATTTGAGCCTCCAAGTTGGCTCCTTTAAACATAAGCCCAAGGAGGACCCATCGTGACTAGCAGATGAAGTCCTAAAGACAATAACGGGAGCTTTAGAGCATGACCCTAACCTCTTGGATGACTCTATGGATGATGAAGCTGATTAAGGCTGCTCTAGACTGGAGCACTAATCATTGTCATCGTCTTCTCATGGTAGCAATTATTTGGAATTGCCAAGGTACAACAAAGAGTGGTTTCCACTCAGTGCTTACATCCTTAATCAAAGAGCACAGACCAGAAATCCTCATTCTCATTGAACCAAGGATATTCGGCAATATGGCAGATAAAATGATTAAGAAAATTGGCTTCCCCAACTCCCCTCGCGTTGAGGCTTACAGCTTCTCTGGTGGTATTTGGATCATTTGGACTTACAAATTCACATTGAAGTAATATACAATCACTAGCAGTATATACATACCCAAATTCATTTCACCCAATGTAATCAAACCATCCTTCTCACATCAGTTTATGGTAGTCCTTCGACAGCCATTTGCACCCAACCATGGCCTGAGCTTATCCAAAATTGGCCAAACTATTCATGAACCTTGGGCTTTAGATGGTGATTTCAAGTTAGTCCTCACAGCCTTAGAGTGATGATCAAGCACCAGAAACATTCGACGTGGCTGCCCGAATTTCAACCACTTCATAGACCATTGTTCTCTCATTGATCTCGGTTTCTCAGGAGCTAGGTTCACTTGGAGAAGAGGTTTATCCTTTGAGCGCCTAGATCGGGTCTTAGTTAACAAATTATGGGTTGACAAATTCCCAAACACATCAACAATTCACCTGCCCAGAATTTGCTTTGATCGCAGCCCAATTAAGTTCATTATGGGCCTTGGCCCAAATGAGAGTCAGAGAATCCATCCCTTCAAATTCCTGGCCCCCTGGTTAACCCACACCAAGTTCCCTTAACTTGTCCAAGATACATGGAGAGACAACATCACTTTAAGCGCCAACATTGTGACATTCATAGATGTAGCAAAAGCTTGGAATCGAGACACTTTTGCTGTAACTGGGGTTAGAAAAAAACAACTATGCACGCGAATTACAGGTGCTCAGAAAGCTTTGCTTCCCTACATTCTATCAATCAAGCCCTATGCATAGAATATGAAAAAAATTTGCTTACAAGAGGAATTACTCTGGGCACAAAAGTCTAGCTTTACCTAGTTGAACTTGAGGGATTGAAACACTTTTTAGTACCATACCAAGGCAAAGATTAGGCGGTCCAGGAGTAAAATCACTGCTCTTAAAACCACCGAAGGAACCTCGATTTCTAATGAAGCTAAACTAAGTTGTTTGATTAGAGATTTTTATGTCAACCTTTACTCTGCACCCCGCACAACATGTGAACCATATAGACATAGAGGTATGTTTCTTTCCCTTTCAACATCTCAATTGGAAGTTTTAAATGCTGATGTTACTCTTGAAGAAACTAGAGGTGCCCTATTTGATATGAAACCATTAAAAGCTCCTGGGCCCGATGGACTCCATGGTCTTTTCTTCCAAAGCCCATGACACAGTGGGAACATTTTTATTTAATATGGTCTCTTCTCTATTCAATGGCGAGCCCCTTGAACCCATCCTAAACAGTACCCTGATTACCCTCATTCCAAAGATCCCAATCCCCCTTGTGCTTTTGGAATCTAACCGCCAATGGAGCTTTCACAGTTCATTCAGCGTATCACGCCAACCGCCAATTTGATTATGAGAATCTTGAAAAATACTGGAGTTGGATCTGGAAGTGGCCTGGGATCCAAAGAATTCGCACCTTTCTTTGGTTAGCCAAGAAGAATAGGCTCCTTTCTAATGTAGAGTGATTAAGAAGAGGCAGAGCCATGGAAGGAACTTGTGATCTGTGCCATACAGCAGTTGAGGACCTTGACCACATTCTTCACTTTTGCCCTTGCTGCAATTAGTACCCCATGACAAAACCTAGGAATTCTTCTCCAAACCTTTTGAAGACTGGTTGCTTTGGAATCTCAACTCTCGATGTATGGGCACTCACTATCGGCTCACGTTTGGCATGCTATGTTGGAAACTTTAGGACAACCAAAACAAACGCATATTTGCTGATGATCCCCTTTCCCCAGAAAACATCATTATTTTTGTCCAAGATTTTGTTACTCACACCTCTAATGCAAGGAGGCTTTTGGACACTGTTGCTAGCTCTAACTGATTGCTTGTATGGTTAACTTGAACTTTTTGTACATATCTTAGCAATACATTCTCTTTTTTACTTAAAAAAAAAGTGCTTATTATTTTGTCCTATTAATTGAAAATAGACTACTTCCTTTTTCCTTTTTTAAAAAAAACTCTAGCAAGATGAAGGGTGAGTACTGGCTAGGGTCTTGAAAGAATATAAAAATTACCACAACTCTTGAGTAAGAAAAATAAATATGTTGTGACCTTAATGATACCAACCCTCTTTAAATCATTCTTAAATGTATATAGTCATACTCCTAAGCTCGAATTCTAAAAAATGTTAGATGGAATTAGATAAAATCTAATGACTTAAGGTTTTAGATAAGGATATACTACCTCTACTTCTAATTATAAGACATCATTTGCTCGTTTGTAAACTATAAACGAAATCTTATTATTAGGACATGAGGTAGTAATAATTAAATCATGGATTTGTGCTTATATGGAACAGAATGGGATTAAAAAAAGAAAATAAATGTAATTGAAAAAAATCCAAAATCTGCGTGTTTTAACATTTCGAATCAAAACGGAGTAGCATGAGGTAACAAATGAAACATTAAACAATGAAGACAGCATTCATGAGCTATTGGCCAGGTGCGGAGGAACATTGCAAAGGCATGTTTGGTGTATAATACGAAGCAGGTCAACTCATCAACTTTTGGTTTTCACTTTTTCCAATGCCCACGAAATTCTCATTCTTTACCTTGCCCCAAACATGCCATTTTGCTCTCTTATTCCTATGATCTAATCGAAAACACCAGATTCCTCTCGCACCACATTCAGGTTCCCATTATTATTTCCACAATTTTCACCAGCGCAGGATTGTCGTGTTGGATATTTCCAACATTAAACACTCTTCATATACGTGTGTGTGTATTTGTTTGGCAAAAAAAAAGTGCATATATATATATATATATATCATTACTGTTAATTTTTTCACGCGAGATCATTATGTGGATATAGTTTTCTTTTAAATTTAAATTAAAGAAGTAACGATAAATATCTTAAGAAATTTGAATTTGAGTATGACTATATTTTTGAATTAGAATGTATTAGTAGCTTGAAATTACTCCTTTGGTCCTATTTATAAGACGCTTTCAGCATGTTTCACACAGACCAAGAAAAACTTTAAACTTTATTAACTATTATTTAAAATTTAATAACTTTCCAACTTTATCCCTATTTAATATATATTATACCACATATAAACAAAGTTAATACAATAATAAATGAGGGGTAAAATTGTACATTCATACAAAAAAATTTTCTCAGTATTCTATAAATAAGACCAAAAAATATATTCTCTTTCTGCCCTATAAATAGGATCAGAGGAGTATTATACAGGATTTTCATATTATTAGGTTATAAGATTATTAATGTATGTTTTTTTAGCTTATTTTATTTTCACCTCTTATTATTATTATTATTATTATTATTTAGACGGTCTTCAAAACCCATACATTCTCGTTCCCGGGAAAATCTTTTACCGCAACTTATTTTCAAACCCCACCCAAGAAGTTAGGGAAAATTTGAAAAAAAAAAAAACAAAAAACAAAACCCGTGATGACCAGATGCTACTGTTTTCTTCTCTTTTCTTTTTTTTTTTTTTGAGCTGAAACGAGGTGATAGTGTTGGCTGAATATAAATAGGCTAAATTCAAAGGCTTGGAAGCGATAAAGCTCGGAGCTCGGAGCTCGGAGCAGATCTGCTGGACTGTCGAGGCCCGGCGAGATTCACGCCGGCGAATATTTCCGGTGAGGCTGAGCCATCAATTTTGGCGATCGACGATGACCAGTCATCACTGGAGAGCTAATAATAGTCACAAACGCAGCAGGAACGGTCCGGAGATGAAGGAGAAAGCGAAGAAGACAACGAAATTCGAACGACGACTAGTGAGGTACCAGGAGTTGCCGGAATTCTTAAGAGATAACGAATACATATTGGACTATTACCGTTCGGAATGGCCCGTGAAGGACGCCTTGTGGAGCGTCTTCTCATGGCACAACGAAACCCTAAACATATGGACGTGAGTATCCGTATCTGTAATCCAGCTTCTATTTCAATTTCATTCAACTTATTCTACAAAATGTTGGGGTACGAATGCATAAATTCCAAAAGAATAATTGAAATGAACAAACCTGGATATTGCTTGTGCAGGCATTTAGCGGGATTTCTGATATTCGCGGCGTTTGCTCTGGTGAGCACTATGAAGACGATGCAGCTGGAGCTCGGAGATTTCGCTTCAAATTTGAGCAGGTATATGGTTCTCGTTGAAAGACATGTTTGTCATTTGTTGTTTGTTATGGTGTTTTAGGGAATATAGCTTTTATGATGGATGATCGACGAGGCTAATCTCAAGGTTTCTAATTGCTGGTGGGACCAGAGCTGCGGCGGGGGGCGTGCTGATGACGACGGAGGTGATCAACGGCTCTGGTAGTGGTGGCACCCGATTCTCGTACGTTTACAATTTTAAATTTAATTATGATTAGCATTTGAAAAATTGGCAGGATAAGCTGTTGGCCTAAAAAAGAAATTGAAAGATAAGTTGCAGTAGGCGCATCCGCTAACAGTAAGTTTGTCATAAAAACAATCAACAACTTTTTTAAATAATAATAAATTTTTTTGGCCAACAGTAATAAATCTATATGTATAATCTATTAATATAAGTCATATAGAGTATAAACATAAAAATACATTAAAATATAATTTCAAGTAATGTTACATGGTGCGTCATCTTCATGATAATAGAGCCATATTTTGGATGATATATTTTTAAAAATTTTTAATTTTCTTAACTAGTTTTTTTAAGTTGACAGAAGCATCCATAATAAGTTTAAAATTTTTTTTTCCAGGGATATTTTAAGATTCATTTTATTTCTATATACAAAGGTGAAAATTAGAAGTTTATTATAAATGAAATTTGTATAGTGAGATGGGGACAAAAGTGGTGGGGCCTATGGGAGGGAAGGCGCCAGCAAAATCCCAGTGGCGCGAGATATGATATTTGTAGTGTGAAACCTTAGCTGATAAGTGGACCAATCGGTTTGATCCCATGTGATTTCTCGTTTTTCTCTCTTGGGCTTTGTTTTTTTATTATAAATACTACCTTCTATTCTTCACATAATATTTTATTTGATTTTTATTTTGATTGTAAATATAAGATTCTAATTCATTTTGTTTCTCATATTTATATATTTTTTTAAAGTCTTTTTTTTAACAATGATAGTTCTAACTAATATACTTGATTAATAAGGATATTTTAAGAAAGATAACACTTATTTAGTACAAATAACTAATTTAATTTTTTTCTTAATCTCCTTAAATTAGTCAGCTAATTCTTATAATTATGACCAGAGGTAGTATAAAAAGCATTTTTGTTGTTGGCAAAATAAAATATATATATATATTTATTTGGCCGGTGCTCCTTAAGCTTTGAGCCCTTATTTTAGTGGTATAATATTTTTTTAAAAAAAACTTATTTTGATGAGCAAGGTTCATTAGTAATCATTGCACACGATTAAGTTGGCCTAACTCTATCTCGGTTCTCAAGATCTTATATTTTTAAAGATTAGCCCAAAGAAGTCCACATTCATGTGGGAAAAAAAATAGTCAAAGGATTTTAATTTATATTAATAATTTTAACATTTGGAAGTTAAAAATTTTTAATAGTCTGATACATCTAAAAATTATAATTCATATACTCTAAAATTATAATATTTTTTTTTTTTCAAATTTTACACATGTTTTATTCAAGACTACCATGACAGATTTAAAACAGTCAATGGCATTGCAGCATAGTGAGATTATGTGTTCAATCTTATCTTGTTTCCTCCTCAATCATTAGCGTCTGTCCTTTTAATTCAAAAATAAAATTAAAGCTTTTTTTTTAAAATCAGAACATGAAGTCAAGAGTTTCATATTGAGGCAAGTTTGTTTTTCCTTACAAGCACACTGATATTTGTTTTTCATAGGATTCCCATTTAAGACAAATTTCGGAATCATCAATCCTTCACGGGCTAAGAGAATATGGAGCAGAACCAATCCCAACATGGCCATGGTTTGTATTCTTAGCTGGTGGCATGGGCTGCTTGGCTTGCAGTTCTCTTTCCCATCTTCTAGCCTGTCACTCCAAACGCTTCAACCTCTTCTTCTGGCGTCTGGATTACGCAGGCATCGCCATCATGATAGTCTCCTCCTTTGTGGCTCCCATCTACTACGCCTTCCTCTGCAACCCTTTAGCAAGCCAATCTATCTAACCTCAATCTCTGTTCTTGGAATCCTAGTCATCATCACTCTTCTTTCTCCTCCTCTTTCTGCTCCTCAATTCAGACCCTTAAGGGCCATCTTGTTCCTCTCAATGGGCTTTTCAGGTGTGATTCCAGCAGCTCATGCTCTTGTCCTCCATTGGGCCCATCTCATATATTAGTGGCACTTGGTTATGAGCTTGCCATGGCTCTCCTATATGCCACAGGAGCTTGGTTTTTATGTTAGTAGATTCCCAGAAAGATGGAAGCCTGGGCTTTTGATCTTGCAGGACACAGCCATCAGATCTTTCATGTGTTTGTTTGTTCTTGGGGCACTTTGTCACTGTATTGCCACTGTGGTGATTATGGATTTTCGAAGGGCTTTACCATCCTGTGGGGTTTATAATTAATTAGAACATGCCACTCACTACAATTAGCTGATTGAGAAGTGTGAATTTTGGGGAAGGGTTAGCTGCTAGCACCATATTGTGTGTTATTCATTCATAGTGTGATTTGAACAGTGAGGTCTTTTTGATATAGGAGGAATGGTTACTTCTGGTAATCTGAGGTGATATATATTGTAGTTATTGTAATGAGTGACTCAGAACCATAAATGATTTATTCCACTTTTACTGATGCTGGTGTGGAAAATTTTAAATTTTGTTGATTTGACTTGGGATGAAATTAAAAATTTACTGATAGTAAATTTTTTTTATATGCCCA